CACTACAGGAAAACGAAGGAGCAAAACATCCATATTTTTTAAATAAAGACAAATTATACTTCCCCACAGTCTTTCCTATAAATGCATATAATTAAACATCCATGCTTTCAGATAAAAGGTGGATAAAATTCTTTCAGGTTTGAGTTTTGGACGAACATCTTTTCCATTGTTATTACTTACCTGCTTTTATCAATAATCATTCTGCAAAAAAAATTATTTTAACAAGTAGTAATATCTACATAAATTGATTATTTAATACGTTTTTATTAAACTATGATTTCACTGAAGACTCCTAGATGACTTGCAGAGACACAATTTTCTCTTTACCCCATAAAAAACATAATCTAGTTCTGAAAAAAGCAGGAATTCTTGTAATGTTAATATATTGATGTGCATAATTAACCAGTGTTTTTGTAATTGGTAATATATGAATAAAAAAAAATTCTTTTTAAGTTTTGAATATTCCACTTGAGAGTATTTCTGCTGCCACCAACTATATTAGAGGGGGGAAAAAAGGTAGGGGTGGCCAATGATTGACTAAGGGTGGCCATGGCCGCCCCCCCATCTAGCTTCACCCCTGACCAGCAGCCCTTGTGACCCGCTTGGGATAAGCATGAAAAAAAAAAAAAAAAGGAATTTGTCATTTTTTTTTTTTTTGAAAAAAAATGTGTAATTAATTCCACTGTAATGAAATACAATCAGGCCACATTCCACAGGCGTTCATCCACCACGGTGTTCACTAATGCCAGCTGACCCTCGTGTGATGGTATGAAGCCAAACACAAATTGCTGTAAAGTCCTGAGGAGGAAAACCATTTATTACACAGCAGTGCTTTTCCTGAGTTTTTAATGTGAGAAAAAAAAAAAACAACAGTAATGCCTTTTTAAGATGTTGAACTTATAAATATTTGCATGGAGAAAATGAAACAGTTTGATGCGATTATTGGGAGATGTGTTCATGATTTCTGATGCTTTAAACCCAGAGCAGAGTCTCATTTTTTATTCCTAAACATTCAAACTAGAATCTCAGTAGAAGCTAAATACATTTTCATAAGAAATATTGATGCAATTGATGCAAAAAAAAGTCTTGTCAAAGATTTATTCATTTTATTCAGTTATTCTCATCTTTTCTTTTTTGGCAGTGAAATATAAAAACATTTCATTTCTGGAAAAAAAAAAAACCCAAACAGTTAATGAAACATTTAGACAACAGATCAGATCACCTGCTAAACAAGCCGTTTCTGACTGATTTAACCTCTTAAAGGGTTAATCTGAACCTTAAATCTAAACCAGTTTGTAAATTAACCATTTTCTGCTGCTTTGCTTAGAAAGAGCTGCAACAGACTGGATGACCGTTACTTAGGTGGAGGAGTGGATATATAAAATAAATCACTAGTGGTCAATTCCAGACCCACATGTAGAGAAATAGCACTAAGACTGGGGAAAAAAAAAAGTTACTTTGCAATATTGTTTCCAGGCAGTAGGAGCTTAAAATCCATGAAAATTCCATTGATCTCATCTTTTCATACAATCTACGGCTCATTTGATTATGATAGGTGATAAGGCAAAATAACCAGATCAGCAAGAGCTCCAAGTATTAATCAGGAAAATTCTTTTATACATTTCTTTATTCAGCAGAACCTGGACCTCAGACATGCTTCTCTGCATTGATGCAAGTTTAAAATGGTGCTGCAGATATACTTAACCTCAATATGCTGGTTCAATGTTTGCTGTTGGAAGCATCAATCTTTTTTTTCCTTTCCATGTGTGGCTAAGTGGAAGTTTTGAATGAAAATGATTTAAAAGTCAAAAAGAATTAGATGAGATCAGGTTTCCTACACATTTAAAACTATGGACTTTTTACCCCATTCTTTCAGTCAATATAAACAATTGAATCTTAAGTGGGCCTATACTAAACTGCAAACTTGGATTATGGGGGGGAAAAAAGCAGTTTTGGATGGAAGCATTGATGTATTAATGTACAGAGTATGAGAAACAGACAGGTGGATAGATGGTAGAGAAAGATGGACAGCCTGTGCATGAATGGGTAAGGACTGCAGTGTTTAGATAAAACAGAAAATATAGTCAGAAAATTAATATTTCCTTTTTCTCTCCCCCTCCGAATGCTTCTCCAGGGTTGAGGATCCTTTGACAAAATTCCAGACTCAGATATTCCATCTCAGAAAACCAAAAACATTAAATACACCTTCTGCATCTCACAGGGCTGCTGGTTTTATGACTGGAAGGGATGTTTCATTGGATGTTTATACAAAAAGTACAAGTATGAGGAATGTGTCGACAGAACAAGGCAGTTTGGTCGTATTGAAATTTAATACTGTTGAACTACAGTCTGCATTTATACATATACACAATAACCACAAAGCACTATCAACCGATTAAAGCGAAAATATTTATTTGGCAATCATGTTCTATTACGCTTTTGGCTATTCTGGTGTATAAAAATATTTCTGAATTGTATAAAAGGCAAGTTTCATCCAAGCTGACTGACATTTGTTTTATGATTTAGGAAAAAAAAAAAAAACGACAGAGAAAAGCAGGAGTGAAACAGTGGTTGGCAGTAAGACGATTTGATTATGTTTCAAAGAAAGGAAAAAAAAAGATCCTGTGGCCAAAATTCATGTGCAAATCAACTTTTTTACATACAAAGCTCTTTCCTTTCTGCATACCTGTGACAGCGCTGAAACGTAACGAAGCGGAGGTCCGCTTAATAGTCTCAGAAGCACGCGTTTGAAGCAAACCGTAAAGCAGTGTGCAGTCCGAGGCCAGGCCGGGATAAACGCTCTACTTGGGGAAGACTGTGACTACGTCGTAGCCCTCGGGCGGAGTGACCCGCTCTCGTGCGTGCGTCTCGCAGTAAATCTGGTCCTCCACGAAGAAATGTCCCTTCTGTTTTAGGTTGACGTCGCAGTCTGTGCAGGTGTAGCACTCAGGGTGGCGGAACTTGTCCCTCAGCTTCACCAACATGCCCCTGCAGAGAGAACACAGACACCCATTTAAACACTGATCACAAATGAGCAAACAGGAATGTAGAGAGGCCAGTTTGTCACAGGCTGTAAACACAGAAGGCTTAAAGTAAACTTTTCAAAGCAGCATACAGAGGAAATAAAAATAAACCCAATTTTAAAATTCAATTCTCCCCAGAATCCAACTGAAGAAAAACAAACAAACACAAATTGAATGTGTTGAGAGGATTTTATGATTCTGACATTTGTTTAGGATGAAAAATAAATCAGAATTATGAGTTTTGTTTTTTATTTTGAGCCGAAGTTGTGCTACTTTTTGTAGATCCATCTGCCTACTTCATGTTGCCACACAGGAGCTTTTCAAAGGCTGAGGGGGGGAGTAACTAGTTAAGATTTACTCAGCTCCAATTACTCAAATCATTTTTAAACAAAATGCACCTAAAGGAGTCAATTTTGCTGTACTGTACTTTTTTTATTTTTATAGATTTGTTTATTAATTTTTATTTAACAACAACATCATAACAAAGAAAACCAGCTCAGTAGTGCAGCCCAGAGGCGATGTAAAGAAAATATAAATAGATATTAGGGTTGTCACCATACTAAACTTTTCAACTCGATACCGATACTAAGGAAAATATTCAATACTCGATACCATTTTTTAAAACCACAAGAATAAAAACTCCAAATTTCAACATAAATATTTTGATTAATAATTAAAATACAATAAGTAAATACAATAAGAACAATATTTTGAGGTTGTTTGCTGTGCACAGTATTAAGCAAGCTTGATATAAAAGCTTACAAAATTTAAATTAAGTTTTCCTTCCTTGGCTATGCTTTGCACACACAATGACACTAGCCAAAACCGGTTAAGAAACAAAAATAATATTCAGCAGCTGCACCTGTTACAAAAAAAAAAAGAAGTGTAAAACTGAAAAGTGCACAGAATTATTCAATCACACAGTGTTCAGAAAGAGCATTTTCCTCTATTCTGCACTTTAGATGAATGACTGTTTAGGTGCCACTGGTGGTAGCACGGTATCAATACTTTTGAAAATGAGTATTGTATCCGCATACTTTTCAGTATCAATACTTTTTTTGAGTATCGATACTTTTGACAACCCTAATAGATAAATACTTCTATCACTACAGAGCCCAAATCTAAGCATTTATAAAAACTCCAGACAGGATGGTAGACACATGTCCCTTAGCATAGTCCAAGAAGGGCTTCCATATGCGTCCCAAAGGGTCAG